TCAAATCAGCTTGATGTTCATTTTAAACCTAATCCCAGGCTAAACCTGTAATATGCATGTGACCTATTTGGTTGCCTTTGCACTCTTGCAAGGAGATTACCTTGCTTCTTGCAAACCTGCCCAAAGGCCATGCAACACCTGCCCACATACTGACAGAACTTTCAAGAAAATCTGAACCAAAGTATTTACCCAAACCGTAAAACTTAATGTACCAAATTTTCAATGCATCAGAAATTCCCTCATTGATCTCATGGGGAAGAGACTCTATAAATGTGACTTTGAGAAAAACATTTACTTTGCTTACCAAAGTTAGCCATTATGATTATGCTTTTCCCCAAAGTCTAAACAAGGCGCATGTCCCCCATCACCATTTTAAAAGTAAGAATAATTTATTTATCATGATTCACAGTTACTTAAGTAATATTGCTTAATATTTCACATTCTGGCTCAATGTTGAAGGATGAAATTGAGCATCTCCAAAGAAACAATAAGAATGGGGGAACAGGGCACCTGGGTGGCTCAGATGGTTAAGCGTCTGCCTTCGGCTCGGGTCGTGATCCCAGGGTCCTGGGATCGAGTTCCACGTCGGGCTCCCTGCTAGGCGGGGAGCCTGCTTCTCCCTCTGCCTCTGCGTCTCTCTCTCTCTCTGACTCTCATGAATAAATAAATAAAATATTAAAAAAAAAAAAGAATGGGGGAACAGATGGGGAGCAAGGACTTAAAGTAACAAGTAGCATTCCTTTATCATCCAGCCATCCTTTCACTTCAGAGATATCTGATGGATGCCTATATGTGTGCAGGCATGAAAATATTTTTGGTGAGCAGCCCATGGAATAGGGAAGCAGAGGGTGTATCTAAATATATTTGCACGTGGAGGTGGTTTTCGTCGAGCTTTGAAGGACGAGGGATAAACCATCAGCCACACCGGGCAGCACATGGAAAGTAGAGGCTGATATTCATTACAACCACCACAACTGGCCCTGGATCCAGAGGAGGGGAAAGCCATTGAGGGATGGGCAGTAAGGGAAGCACTCATGTCTCAACAGAAGGTCAGTTGCACAAGAGTAGAGGAAGGAGGAAGCCATGGCAAAAGAAAATGTTGTCACTGTATTGGAAAGTCAGAAAGAAGCCAAATATCCACTTCCGTTCTTCAGGAAGATACTCTGAACTATAGCCAGCCTCCCTTCTGAGAAGATCATGGTGTCTTTGTTTCCTTGTGCCTGCTTTTCACAGTATGTTATCTGCAGCTTGCCCAGATTCCAGCAGCTTGCTGATATTACCTGGGCTTTGAATTTAAAGACAGGCTCAGGAACAGGCTCTCAAAGTGTATTTGTCACCTAAGCCTAATCATAGTTTTTGGCACATCGTTGGATTATTCTAGGTATTTAGCAATTTAGTAATCTGATTAGCCATGCCTGTGACAGACCAGGACTTGCTTTGCATGGATCACCAGAATGTGGCCTCCATGCTTTCATTTTTAATAGCTAAATGTTCATCACCCATCATGCCAGCTAGCTCCTCTCAGCCCTTCACAAACCAAAGGAAATCACCTTAGTGAGCCAGATGGTGGTGAATGATGCCGAAAGCGTTGCTGATACCCAGACTTGTGGCAAAATTACAAGCCCATAGTGTGCAATAAGTTTAGAATGATATTATGCAGTAGTGCTGTGCCTTGATGGCATCAAATTTATTCTTTTCTTTTAATTTCTGTATCTCAGAATTTTCTTTATAAACCAACAAGAAACTGGTTTGTTTGTGTTTGGTTTTGGGTGGTTGGCTTTACAAACCTTCTGGCATTGGTTTGTTCATCAGAGAAAACAAAAACCTAATCATTCTTTCCTACTTCTTAGAGGTGTCATGAGGATTAACATAATGCAAATATAAGTGTTTTAACAAGCATCATTACTTAAAAATCCCTTGCAGATGTTAGCGTGTGCCTGCTGAAACAGGAGACTCTCACAAGGCCTGCAGAACATAAACCACAAACCCCCAAATCCTATGGGTCTGTAACCCACACACTGTGGGGTCAAGAATCCCACACTGAGTGAGGTCATCCCTTTCTCTGCCTAGCTTCTGTGTTTCTAAGAGGCCAGTGAGTTCCTGCTCACTGGAAATAAGGTGGGAAATAAGGCTGATTGATTTTCCCTCTGCTCAAGAATCTCAGTGTGGACACCAGGGGTTTTGTGAAGTTTCACCAAAGCCTATCCCCATGGAACTCTCTATTCAAGTGGAACAGGATGAGCTCCCTGCCATAGAAGGGACTGGGATTCCTCTCACTTCCATCTGCAAAATGCCTGAAACACATCATGACCACTGAAAGTCTTGTTCTCTGTGCTGCTTGTTACTAAAAGAATGGGGAGAACCTTCTATTTTCTTTAGTGGTGTTCATTTTAAACCTAATCCCAGGCTAAACCTATAATATGCATGTGACCTATTCGACTGCATAAACAATAGAATAATCTCTGCATATACAGATTTTTCAAAATCTTAGAATATTCATTTTTTAAATGGCTGCTAGTTTCATTCACTTGGGTTTGTTTTGATTACTATGGCGTTGGGACCACACTCATCATGTGTCATTTCTCTACAAAAAACTTATAAATTCCAATTCCCAGAAGGAAAAACACTCTGAACAGGAATACTTATATTCATCATCTTTTCATTCCATTCAGAGACTAACAGGCCTGCAGTAGATTATAGAAAAAGGAGCTGTTTCCCTCAATCACAGGGGTTCCTTCAACATCTTAGGAACCCAGCCTAAAATAAAATGTCCATACAGGCGAAGTTTTTTTGTTTTTTTTTTTAAGATTTTATTTATTTATTTGAGAGAGAGAATGAGATAGAGAGAGCATGAGAAGGGGGAGGGTCAGAGGGAGAAGCAGACTCCCTGCTGAGCAGGGAGCCCGATGCGGAACTCGATCCGGGACTCCAGGATCATGACCTGAGCCGAAGGCAGTCGCTTAGCCAACTGAGCCACCCTGGTGCCCCAGGCGAAGGTTTATTATCCCGGAAATTCTCAAAAGAAGAAAGCTGCTTTTCTTTTCCTTGGCTGCCATCTAGTGGGTAATGATGTCCTGTCAATAAAACACACTCCATCTGTGAAGACAGAAGATGTCTTCCTGTCTTTAAAACAAACCCCCAAAGCACAGGTAATTAAAGAAATATGATTGCAGACATGAAGCAATTATCCTTCCTCATAACTTCTATTTAGATCCAAAGTATTATTCTCCTTCCTTTTTCCATGGGAAGGCGACTGATTCAATGATCATACATTGATTTGGCACTAATATTATGCACTAGGACTAGCACTATAAGGAAACCCTAAAACAGATCCAGCCACAGATTGGGAACTAAAAGGTAAAGTTTCAGGGATCTCCACTGAAACCAAGAACCTCCGCTAACTTGAGCCTAGACCGGTGAAAACCTAACGAATAGCTGTTTCTTTAGCACACCTGCTTCTTGTTGCAGTGGCAAAACCAATATTGACTGTGCTGTTTTAGATTTATCTCTGTTACGTTTATCCTGTGAGCATTTTTAATGGGGTCTCTAATGCCTGGAGAACATTATGTAACAGTCAGGTCAGCTGTTCAGTAGCATCTCCATCTTTTCAAATTAAAACCAGATTCCAGACCTAAAGTACTTGGGTTTCAGATTCTCAAAAAGGGAGGGCTCAGGAGGTACAAAGAAACACAGTAGAAATATAAGGAGTCTAAACAACATGCACATAAGCCTATGCCTTTTTATCTCTCTAGGCTTTGTGGGTTAAACACACACACACACACACACGCAGCTGGAATGTAGACCAATCTTTCCCAATGGTCTCTCAACCAAAGCCCAGTCATCTACATGTGATTGCAGATAAATGAAAAGTCACTATTAATTATATTTGACACCACAAGTTAACAAGAATATTCTAGTAGACATCCATCCTTCCTTATTCTACATGACCGTGGAGCTCGAAGGTAGTGGTTCGGAATATGGGTCGTGGTACAAGACTGCATGGGTTCAAATCCTGGCTCTGCTGGTTGTAATCATAGACCTCAGGAGATTTACCAGATTTTCCTGTGCCCTGGTTTCCTGAAACATAAAATGAAGGTGCCTCGTCTTTAGGCTTATGGTAAGGATTAGAAGAGTTCTTTTTTTTTCTTTTTAAAGATTTTACTTATTTATTTGTCAGAGAGAGACAGAGAGAGAACACAAGGAGGGGGAGCTGCAGGCAGAGGGAGAAGCAGGCTCCCCGCTGAGCAAGGAGCCTGATACAGGACTCGATCACAGGACCCTGGGAACATGACCTGAGCCAAAGGCAGACGCTTAACTGACTGAGCCACCCAGGCATCCCAGGATTAGCAGATGTCTTACAAAAAATATGCTCAGAAGATTGCCTGGCATGCAGATAGGGCTCAATAATTGTGAGCACTTACTAATGTGTCCAGATGCTTCCAAATAACTTGCAAAGAAGAGCTAATTGTTCCTCTGACTTAAAGTTCTGAAACCTCCGAAGGTGGAGGATGTCAAAGGTCAGGTCTCAAAGTATAGGAAGTGAGACACCTGCCAACAAGTCCGCCACTCTGTACAAACTCAACTAAACTCTAACATGCTTGTGCCTAAACAATTGGTGAGCGTTAGTTAATGATATCGCTCCGAGTTAATTTTAAGCTGGTAACAAAGCTGAAGTCACGAAGATGCATGTAATGTAGTGTTTCAATCTCTGCTGAAGTAGAAGAGGAGAGCTTTTTAAGAGCCTATGAAGCCATGCACCTTCAGTGGGGGTTTATTCTGCCTGCTATACAAACCCAATGAGTCACCTTGTCAGAGTTAAGTTGTACTAAAATATAAGCCTCTCTCTCCCTCCAGGTGTTCTCTGATTCTGATTTTGCTCTCTGAAAAAGTTCAGGTCTGAGCCTGAGCCCAAGAAATCTGATGCCTTCTCAAAAAAGAAAATGGGGGAGGAAAAGGAAAACCTTCTCATGACTCAGTTTCTTTTTTGGTATTATTTAAAGACATGCAAAGCCTAGAGAAGCTCCTGAGAGATGCTGTAATCTACGGCCAGCCTCGAATCCGCAGAGCGTGGAAGAAGATTCTCATCCTAGTGGAGGGCATCTACAGGTATGGAAATAACCAGAGAGATTTTAACACACTGGGGCCCACAGCGAGCTGACACATGAGGAAAGTCTGATCTCTCCTAGATCAATGGAAAAATGAGTTGGATATAAGGTATTATGAAGGGACCTGAGCCAGAGCCACCAATGTGAGCTGTCAGGCCTTGGGTCACCTGTCTTTTCAATGTCTGTTCATATGGCAGAACACATCAGATGCTGGATGCTTGTGAAGGTGTTCTCAGAAATGTCCTCAGAGGGCATGGATAACTTGCACTGATTCTTTCCACTACCATTGGCTGCCCCACAGTTTCAAAGGCCTATGGGGGCTGGGTTATTCAACATGAGAATGCTTCTTGCCTGGGGTGCCTGGGTGGCTCAGTTGGTTAAGCATTGGATTCTTGATTTCTGCTCAGGTCATGATCTCAGGGTCACGAGATCGAGCCCCTCATCGGGCTCCATGCTGAGCGAGGAGCCTGCTTAAGATTCTCTTCTCTCCCCCTCTCTCTGCCCCTCCCCAGGCCCCCACTCATGCTTTTGCTCTCAAAAAAGAAAGGAATGCTTCTTGCCTTCATGGCGTTGCTGATAGGCACCCAGATGCTTCTAACTGGAGAGTACACCCAAACTCAAGTTGCTTGCTGAACTTGGCCAATTGTTGGCATTAGAATACAAAAAGCCAGCACATTTTCCACAAAGTTAAGACTAACCCCAAGTGCAATTCTTGATCCAGAGCTGGGAGCCGCTGGACTTAGCATCTGAAGGTATGCTCAGTTTCCCACCGCTTTGAAGCCGAGCAGACAAAACACCCACTAAGCCACTGAGAGCTTCTACAAGGCATGTTGTGATGGAATTGGCTTCATTCTCTGTCTCAATTGGTTATCGCTGCTGAAACAGAAATTGCCTCCAAGCCGTTCTTCTGTAGAATGCCCTAGTCCCTGAGTCAAGGAAACATAATGTCAGAGTTCTCCCTCCTTAAATCAGTTCTCAAACAATCTTCATGTTCAAAGAATTGAGGGAGATGTTTCCTATAATTATAGAGAAGCAAATAATATTAAATGGACGGGAATGAGAGCCTAACTTCCCCACAAGGAGAGTGTGCTTGCAAAGGAGATTGAGGTCTGACAGAGGTTTTCATTCAGCCAGACTGCGCATCGTTTCTGTCCCATGAATGGATAACAAGTAACAGAAGAAACATGTCTCCATCCCTCTTGGGAAAAAGAAGTGCTCTCTCCTCAATTTAAAATAACAATGATGATAATAATAATAAGCCAGCTACCATCTTGTTCTTCCCTCGGCCTTACTGCCCCAGCGCCTGGTGTTCTGGGTGTCCCCAGGGCTACTACAGAGTTGCAAAGCTGGCATTTCAAGTGTCTAGGGACCCACTTTATGTATCACCCATCAGTACCTCCTCGGGTCAGCCCCCAGACAGTGTTTTATTTATGAAGTCTTTGGGACCACCCTAGAGCCGCGTTCCCAACCAAGGTGATCCCCTCCCACAACCCACCCCTATCCTGGACACTTTGGGCAATTTTCAGTTGTCACAACTGTAATAGAGTGCTATGGCGTCTAGTGGGCAGAAGCCAGGGATGCTGCTAAGTATCCTACAATGCGCAGGACAGGCCCCTACATCAGAGAATCAACCTGCTCAAAATGTCAACAGTGCCGAGATTGAAAGACCCTGCTGTGGCATCATTCAATTAATAATTCAATTTAATGAATAGTTTACTCACTGGCCTTGAACTTGCTACTTTTCGGAAATAATCTCATATTGACTCTGGGCTGTAATAACCTCAAAGCCAGGTCTTTCTCTCCGTATGATCTGTGCCAGCTGCCCGATGGGGAAGGGAGCTCTTATCTAAACACCTGTCATTCAGGCCTGGACTTGCAAGAGCACGGATCAGCTCAGGGAGGGCAGACTGGGCATCTTCTTTAACCAGAGTTGACAGAATCCAGCTGCAAATAAACAAAACTTGGCTCCACTAAAGGAAAGGTATGTTTAAAGTACTTTGATCGTGGCTGAAATTAAGTGGACCACTAGCATTTTACTGTCAACTATTCCCATCAGTTACACAGAGAACCCACTCCGGCAACAGGGCTTGTTAATGGCTGGGCCTGTGTCCTACCATGATCTCAGGAGGACAGCAGAGCCAGGTGTGGACTTCTGCCTCCAAGCCTGCATGGCACCAAACCACAACCTGGGCCTCACTAGCAATGGGGGCCTGCTCTGTTACCTGATACTGTGTAACAAACCGCCCAAAGCATAATGGCTTACACTGCAATAAGTTATCATTTCCCACACCACGGTGGGTTGCCTGGACCCATTGGGCAGTTCTTCTGCTCCATATGGTGTTGGCTGGGGTCATTCATGGGGAGCATTCACCTGGGAGTCCAGCTGGGATCTGGAACATCTAAAATGACCTCACTCAGTACTAGTTGTTGGCTGAAGTACCTTGTTCCCTTCTCTTCTCTGGGGTGCTCGGTCTATAGGCTCTTCTACTCAACAGTCAAGCCGGAACTTCCTTACAACATGGTGCCATCTTCTGAGAGAATGAGAGCAGAAGCTACCAGTCTTTTAAGGGCAGGGCCCAGAACTGGTATAGCATCCCTCTGCCATACTCTATTGGTCAAAGTATGGTGAAAGCCCAGCTCAGATTCAAGGGGAAGGGAAATAGAACCCACCTCTTGATGGGAGGATTGACTTGGGTGTAGAGGGATGGGAAGACTTGCAGGCAGCCATCTTTGGAGGCAATCTACCACAGTGGTTCAATCAGCCTGGCATTTATTTGTACAATGAAACCTCCACTTGCCATGGACTTCCCTTCATAGAGAGATTTATTTTATCTCATCTGCACAGAATCTTGTCTTTTTTTTTTAAGATTTTATTTATTTACTTGACAGAGAGAGATAGCAAGAGCAGGAACACAAACAGCGGGAGTGGGAAAGGGAGAAGCAGGGAGCCAGATGTGGGGCTTGATCCCAGGACCCTGAGATCATGACCTGAGCTGAAGGCAGATGCTTAACGACTGAGCTGCTGAGGCGCCCCTCTTGTCTTTACGTGAAACTGTGACCTCAAAGGGCCCATTCATAGTTAGGAAGCAGGGCACCTCTTAGACAAGCCTCAGTACTTCCTCGGGCCTCAGTTTCCTCATTTGTAAAATAAGGCTAACCGAGACTGGAGTTCTGGAACATAGTGGATGTTCTTATTTGTTGCTATCACCAAAAAATGAAATTATTTCCCACAAAATTTTCTGAAGGGCTAGGGTTAGGGATGTGAAATCAACAGTTCATGAATGCACTTCTACTTTTTAGTAATGTGTTATGGAAACATACCTTGTTGACATCAACACAAAGCCTCCTTTGAATTTTCACTCCCAGATTTTTTTTTTTTAATCTGTCGCTGTGGTTTGCCACCAAGGGCAAAGTCCCCACCACCACCACCACCACAAATGCCCCAGAAATCAATTTTTTCATAATTCCTAAAAAAAGCAGTCAACCAAATCCAGTGGTTTCAGACAGGTATCAAGGTAGAAAAAGCCAGATACCAAGTCTAAGAAATCCATAAACTCCACAAAAGCAGTTATGATAATGATAATTATACTAACAATAATAACAATAGTAATGTCACCATCCATAAACCATCTAAGTCTCATTATATATATAGATAATATGGAGGAGCCAAGATCTGGAGGGAGGCCTAGGATCTGGGTTCAAATCCCAGTGTTGTCACCTATGGTTCTGTGCCCTTCATAGAGTTCTTTTGTAAGTATTAAGGTCATAGAGCCTCGTTCTTGACAGAAGCCCAGCCCGTGGTAAGCCCACAACCAAGGGCAGCTGTCCTCATCATTAAATTTCTTTTCAGCTGAGGAAGTTGCAGCATGGAAAACAATAAGCTCTCTGCATAGTGAAGCTGTTTTCTCTTCACCCAGCTGAAGGATGGATGTCAGGGGAAGGAGTTTGCATTTATTTACTCGGTGTCTACTCCTCACTTCACACGTGTGATCTTGAGTAAACCTCCCCAGTACCTTTGAGATTACTGTGAAGATGAAGACCCTTGACCCAGGGCAGATAACTGAGGTGAAATAGAGCCAGGATCCAAACCAGGTAGCCCTGCTGGGACAGAGGCCCAGTATCAACAGAAGACTCCATCCGTGTGTTCCCATCCGATGAAGTAAACATGGAAAATGTAAAGTCCTCCATGTGACCTTCACCATTTACCCATCCAGGGCTCAGTTCCTTCATCTGTAAAATAGGGAGAGTGAAACTTGAGATCTAAAGTTCCATGAGTTCCTGATTTGGGGCTTAAAACTACAATTATATTATTATAGTGTTCTTGTCTGCATTTTCTTTTAAGTATTGTTTTAAAGTCAGACTCTTCCAGTTTTGTGTCTCTGAAAAGTCTAGTTGGTTGACTCATTGTGGTTGAGAAATCTCAAAATTATTCAAAAATATACTAGAGAAGGGCAGGGGGTCCCAAATAACCTGGGAGATAAAGTCGCATAACTGGAGCCCAAACTTTCAAAATAAGAAGTATAGAGAAAGAATACCCAGCCCTTCCAGAAAACACATACGAAAACAAATATTTAAATCTCAGAATGCCATTCTCTCTAAGGATGTAAGCCCTTCTCCTCCCCAAAACAGTGTAAGTTTAGTGATTGAGAACTTTAACCTATGGTTTAAACAAACAGGGAAAAAAAGGAAAAGAAAGTACTTTATCTTTAATTAGTCTTAGCTCTCTTCTTTTTCTCTTTTCACCCCCTTTTCTTCCCTGGATTATACTTGGGGCCCACCAAGGAGATTTTTCCACCATGTAAGTTGGCAGACCAGTGGTTTAATTCCCAATCCTGCCAATGGATAATATTGCTCTATATGTGGAGGAGAAGGTGATGAGAGGGAAATTTCAAAAAAGAGTCTTGTCACTTAGCTAATACATTATGTAACAGAAAAGATATAAAGAAATTATTCACCGGCTTGCTGGTTTAAGACTAATTCAAGTCCCCGCACAGAGCTTCAAATTAAGTGGTGGAATTATCTCTACCTACAGTTTTATTTTAGTTGTTTTTCTTTTATTGAAGTCAAAAGAAAACACAACTTGCCATTCAGGAAGAAAAAAATAAAACACAGTCCTTGTTTTCTTTTTCATTTTTGGCACTGTGTTTTCTGACAGCAATTTAAAGGAATAACATAGAAGCCCTTTTCAATGCATGCACCAATCTCAATATCCCACTATAGGAAAGGGTTCGATTCAAATTTGGTCACATTGAGAAAATGAAAACTTAGTGCGGGTGAATATAACACTTTATAAAAGCTGAGTTCTGGGGCGCCTGGGTGGCGCAGTTGGTTAAGCGACTGCCTTCAGCTCAGGTCATGATCCCGGGGTCCTGGGATCGAGACCCGCATCGGGCTCTCTGCTCAGCCGGAAGCCTGCTTCTCCCTCTCCCACTCCCCCTGCTTGTGTTCCCTCTCACGCTGTCTCTCTCTCTCTCTCCCTGTCAATTAAATGAATAAATAACATCTTTAAAAAAAAAAAAAAGCTGAGTTCTCCCTAGGACTCATGTGTGCCCTGCAGTAACTCCAGAAATTAGCAGTACTGTAGAGTCATTAATCCTGGAGGAAGAAATATAAACCAGGTGGGCAGACTCCCAACATCAGCTAGACCAGCCCCAGCAAAGGATGGCTAATTAGCTGCCTTGAGTGTCTTCAAACTGTTCAGCATTAACTCTGCCTCCTACCAAATTCAGTTCCAGAACAAAGAATGGTTATTTGTGACATGTCAGGTTTTCAGCATAGTTGTGTTACCAAATTATAACATGTTAAAGATGAGAAGTAGATCCTAGAATTTTGAGGGCATATAGCTGTTTATTATGTATGACACCCATATGCCTCTTTCCTAAGAGATTCAACACAGAGCATTGTCAAGGGCTCCCCATTTCTCAAGTCAAGCCTCACTGCAAACATTTCCTCCTAAGCTCCTCCTAAAAAAAGGAACAACCCAATGAGAGCTCATTATGTGCCAGACACTTAACAAACATCATTTCTAGGCTGCCTTGGAAAGACCTTATAAGGAGGGTTCCATCATCATGCTTACTTTACATCTCAGATAACTGAGGCAGAGACATCATGTAAGTTGCCCAAGTCCTCAGTTGGTAAGTGGTGTGGCTACAATCTAAGTTGAGTCAGATGGCCGTACCTTCTCCCCTCAATGAAAACCATGTTAACAAACAATCTAAAAAAATACTGGAATTAACTCAGAGACTTATGTAAGAGAAGATGAGTGTATTTGGTTTTCATTTCATTAAAATCTGAAACCAGCCATTCAGAATGACCTTGTGAAAAACACAAATGCAATAAGCTGGACTTCATTAAGATTAACAACTTGTGCTTTGTGGAAGATCATCCCAAGAAAATGAGAAGACAAGCCACAGACTGGGAGAAAATATTTGCAAAAGATACACCTGATAAAGAACTATTATCTAAAATATACAAAGAACTCTTAAAATTCAACAGTAAGAAAGCAAACAACCTGATCGAAAAGACCTCAGCAGACACCCCACCAAAGAAGATATGGAAATGGAAATACACATAGGAAAAGATGCTTCACATCCTATGTCATCAGGGAAATGTAAATTAAAGCAATTAAGATACCACTACATACCTGTTAGGAGGCCAGAATCTGGAAGACTGATGAGGATGTGCAGCAACAGGAAGGCTCATACATTGGTGGTGGGAAGGCAAAATAGCAGAGCCACTTTGGAGGACAGTTTGGTGGTTTCTTACAAAGTTAAACATACTCTTACCATACAATCCAGCAATCATGCTCCTTGGTATTTACCCAAACTTGTGAAAACTTGTGTCCACACAAAACCCTGCACATGGATGTTTATACTATCTATATTCATAATTCCCAAAACTTGGAAGCAACCAAAATGTCCTTCAGTCAGTGAATGAATAAGTAAAATGTGGGACATCCAGACAATGGAATGCTATTTAGCACTAAAAAGAAATGAGCCCTCGAGCCATGAAAAGACATGGAAGAAACCTAAATGCATATTATTAGGTGGAAAGAAACCAATCCCGAAAGGCTGAATAGTGCATGATTCCAACTATATGGCATTCTGGAAAAGGCAAAACTATGGAGACAATGAAAAGATCAGTAGTTGCAGAGGTTGGGTGGGGAGAGGAATGAACAGTGGATTTGTAGGGCAGTAAAAAATAGAATGTAAGATACCATAATGATGGATACATGTTATCATACATTTGTCCAAACAGAGAATGCACAACACCAAGAGGCAGCCCTCATGTTAACTATGGACTTTGGGTTACAATGATGTGTCCGTGTAGGTTCATTTGTAACAAATGGACTGCCCTGGTGGGGGATGTTTACACGTATGTGGGGCAGGAAGTAAATGGGAAATCTTTACCTTCTGCTCAGTTTTGTTGTGACTGCTCTAAAGAATAAAGTCCTTAAAGAAGACACAAGCACAAATGCTGCACTTGATGGTCATCCTACTCCCTCCAAACCAACACTTCTTGGCCTGGGGTAACTGCACAACCAGCCGGACTATTTTGACTGAATTGACCTAACACTTATGTTTATTTTTATAATACATTAAATTTAATAAATAAACTAATTAGGAAGAAGGGATAAGTTCAACTTTCTGTTTGCATCAATTGATTAGTTCTTGAACTAAATTGAAGGGTTGCTTGAGTTGTTTGACAAGCTCCTTTGTGTGGTGAGGATGAGAGTCTGTGTGTTTTCATAGAATTCGCCTGTCAGTGCAGTCAAAACTGTGTGTGGTGTAGACACAGCCCAGAAAGTGTTGTGAGAACTGATTAAAGCCAAAAGTCCTTTTAAATCCATTGAGTTCCAAAGGTGCCATGTAAATGTGAATGTTATTTATTTACTTCATATTTTTCCCTTTTTTGGAGGACTTGAAGTATTTTTGCAATTTACAGTACTATGAAAAGTTAGGCACTTAGGGCTAAAACAAAAGGGTTCATCTATGGCAGTGGTTCTCAAAATGTTGTCCCCAACCAGCAGTAGGATGTCTCCTGGGAGCTTGGTAGAAATACAAATTTTCAGCCCACCCCAAACCTGCCAAATCAGAAACTCAGGGTCATGGAGGGGAGCATAATCTGTGTTTTAACAAATCAGGGAATTCTGATGCTCCTTCAAGAACGAGAACCATTGCCCTAAAGGAACAGAAAGAGAGGACACTACCAGATGCCTCAAAATACCCTTGACTTCCAATGAGCACTGAACAGGAGACCCTAAGAACTTTCTATTGTGCTTTTTTTAATACTATGTGTCTTAAGCAAAGTTCTTTTGTGTGTTTTTAATTCTTTCCTTTACTCTTTGGCAATTCAAGCACTGAGTCTAGGTCAGATAGAATTGGTCCAATAGACAGCAGCAAGCTGACAAAGATAGATTACCGTAGATCAATTTCATTAAAACTAGCAAAATACCTAGAATCCAAAATGCTCAGTCTAGTTACACTAGCTGATTTTACAAATAAATTGATCAACAATGCTGTAAGCTAATTGTTTACTTGGGAGTTAGCTATAACAACTCAAAGCACTTCAATCTATTGAACATAAATTATTTTTTTTCAAATAAAATAATGCCAGATTAGCTTTACAAGATTGAGAAGGTTGCCTCAGCCAACTAAAATATGCCTTAAGAAAAAAGGAATTGCATGTCCCTGTCACCACTGACTGGTGTCAGGAAAGGCTGTCTAAAAAGGATTGGAAGGGAGACCGTCACAGGGCTTCCCAGGAAAGTATACACAAGTGACAAGCATTTCTCCTTATGCCCTAGCATGGAAGGTTCCATCGTGGATCTGCCCCAGATCGTGGCTCTAAAGAAGAAGTACAAGGCTTACCTCTACATAGATGAAGCTCACAGTATTGGGTCCGTGGGCCCAACCGGTCGGGGTGTTATAGAATTCTTTGGACTGGACCCTCGAGATGTTGATGTGTTTATGGGCACATTCACCAAAAGTTTTGGAGCTGCAGGAGGTTACATAGCTGGAAGGAAGGTAAGCCAGGGATTCCCTGTGTCTATTTAAAACCTGAATGCTCTGGGGACACAGTCCGCAGGGTTTCTGTGGATTCCTTGAGAGCTTCAGCTCAATTCAGCACACCTCAGTAGATCATGGCAGCCTGGATACGGTGGGTCCACGGTCACGTAGGCCCAGAATGGCAAGGAACTCTCCCTCTAGTGATGAAGAAGAGCATATGATGTATAATCACATTATAATAAAATGACACCAGCAGTGTACCCAGGCAAAGACTTAATACAAGGAGAGGGATGGTTAACTCTGCAGGGTAGCATCTAAGGAGTCTCAGAATAAGTATCATCCTTGTAGACAAATGATGGGGGGAGGGTATATTTCAAAAAGAGGGGATAATATATAGCAAACCTCAGAAATGATAAGGGGATGTTACAGAGCTATAAGTAGTTTGGGTTTTGTGGCATGAAAAACATAAAGCAGGTAACAGCAACAGTGGGCAAAGGTCAGATATTAATGAGGTTGACCCTGTGCAATAAATTCTGGATTTTAAGAGTTTTAATCAAAATCGTAGTAAGATCTGAAATGCCCTTCTAAGAGATTTTCTGTGCAAAATAATTCTCTCCCAAATTTTGGATAAGCCATAGGTCAAATTGCGCCACCCTCTAATATCTTTTTTTAAAGATTTTATTTATTATTTATTTCTTTTTTTAAGTAATCTTTATCCCCCAGTGTGGGGCTCAAACTCATGACCCCGAGATCAAGAATCGCATGCTGAACCAACTGAGCCAGCCAGATGCCCCTCTCATGTCTTATCTACATGACTTAAAATTCGGATCCGATGGGATCAGACTATGGAGTGTTATCCCTGTAGTGTTAAGCCAATATCACCAAGGGGGTTGCCAATATAAACCAATAAATGTTTAAAAGAAATTAAAGAGAGGAGAGAGGGTCCAGGGAGAAAGAGAAAGTGAAAAATTCAGCCTGGATATGAGGGATAAGGAAGCCAGTAGTCTGCCTGTATCCAAATCCTGATAGCTATCTCAGACAAGCCTACACCTGTCCCAGAGTGACTTGTGACAGTGATGTTGGCTCCAACCAAGGAGGCACACCAGGCCCAAAACCAGTGCATGCAGGTGGCATCCACAGCTTATACAAAATTCCCAATTCCTTACTCATTGTCACCAGCAGGAATAAGATTCAGACTCCTGATAAACCAGTTAGACAAATCAGGGATTGCAGCAAAAGACAGTCTGGCCATTGAAAGCCTATGATTTAAAACAACAGACTTCACTGTGACCATGAGATGCACAAATGCTTAAAATGTTCAGGGTTTTCAATGGTCTTGACCCTTCAACAAGCATTACTTTCTTCTGAGCCCAAAGCACTGTTTTCCATCCTCCCTCCACTGGCCTGTGGGAATTAGCTGGGTAATGCTAAAAACATCGGGAATGCTTAGGATCCTACAAAATTTAGCTAAATCTGGTGAAAGGTTAAATGTTCCCTTCCCCAACTGTGGAAGCAGAGGGATCGGAGGGTCTCAAATTCAGGAGGTCCCTTATCCGGGCTACATTGCTTTGTGAGCTTGTGGTTTTGTGATTACTTTAGCAGCAGTTCTGAGCTACAAAATTTTTAACCAAGCGTAACTCTGTTTCCTGAACCAAGGGCACCTGAATAAACTGAAGTGAGCGGATCCTTGAAATGTTGTCAAATTTGGTAGATGTCACATGTCCCCCCTGGAGTTCCTTCATCAGATACCCACTTAAACAAAAGCTCATGACTGGCCTGAAGTTAGGACCAGCTCACTCTGGTTTCTCTTACTCTCTACCCTCAAGCTAGTGGGACTATTTTAAAAGTGTATTTGTTCTTGTCTATGTAACTTGTATACATTTGGGATAGATACTGGGAAATCATGGAAAGTTATTATTTACATTAGTCGCAATGCAGAAAAATGTGTAGATCTATTCATTTCCTTGCTCTTTAAAATATTCATTCTCTGTATGCTTGGATCCAGAGAACAGCATCATCCCTACCCCCCAACCTCCCGCTCCCTTTCCAGAGCCTCTGTCATTCTCCGCCCCCTCCATACTACACTGCAGTCTCTGAATTTACCACTAGATGGCAGCAAGAATTAGAGCGTCTTTGGCAGAGGTCCCTTAGCCTATTCTGAGACTTAACTGCCCTCAAACAAGATGCAAAACCTAGAAAACATAGGGCAGTTTTCAAGACGTGAGGGTGAGCGAGAGACTGGAGGCCACTTGTGAAAAGTGTTTATATGCGTCGTTCCCTGACGATTTCAAAATCAGTCAAATACACACCTGTCTGGAATGGTTTTGATGAGTCTGTGGCAAACGCAGATAAACTGGATTCCTTCCAACCTGAGAAGCCCAAGAGTTAATGGAATTTTTGCATCTGCTCATCTGTACCTTCAATTTTTTAAGTTATGTTAATTTTAAATTATGTGTAGTTTCCATTTAAATCATAGTTTTTATTCCCCTGGATTTTGAATTATTTTTGCGAAAAATTTTCACTTAGAGTATGTTTTAAACTATGTTTTTTAACTAAAAGGACAGAGGATTGGACAAATGCTAACAGTTTTAATTTGAAAGAGATCTTTATATTTAGCTATTTAAATAATTAGAGTACAGTTTTTATAGAGTTTCATCATATTTTTTCCTGGATATTTTGGAGTGTATACCTCAACTGGGGGGTAGGGGGGAGTAACAGCAAAACATCCAGGATTCTAATAATGGGTACAAAAGCAACAAAATGAACCATAAAAATGTTAACGCACACACACTAGGACTTTACATTTTTCTGAAACCCTAATAATTTCAATTTTACTATGTTCATGGGGATCTTTCTTGAGATCTGAAAATAACTACTTGGGTCAAAAAATCTAGACAAAGATAAAACTGTCTGGCTCTCTTTTTAAATGTCAACGTTAGGGTTAGTAATAGAGGGACTATATTCCTAGTAACAGTTTCTAGGAGGCTCTAGAAGTCTTTCTGGAGCTGGTCAAGGTCAGGAACATGTACGTTAGGGACCAGATCTGTCACGAAAGGAAAAGTGTTTGAAAACAAACAAGGGGAGAAAAAAACTGATTTGCTAAGATAGTACCACAGAGAGTAGAGATTTTGTCTTGGCCTCAGGCTGGCTGTCACAGAATGTCCGATAAATTCATCTCTGCTTATTGGAATTTACTGCCCCAGCCTCAACCTTCTCTCCCCTCCTTAGGGAAACTGACAAAATGGTCTCTCCAGAGCCAGCAAGATTTTGCTATTTTATTCACTTTGAGTTTGGAGCTACTGTAGATGATCTGTGAACAACCCAACTTGGAACATTCTGTCTATTCAAGACCTTTGAGGTGAAATGTCAGAGATAATTACTTGTCTCCACCTGTCAGAGCTCCATGCCATGAATGGCTTCTTTGAAGGATACCTGAGCTGATGAAATTAGGTTTATGTTTATTTTTTACTTTCTGTCAGTCCAGTTGCTGAGAAGGTGTGGTCAACACTAAAGACCCTGCTTTGGGGAGTCCAAGTCTTTCTCGGGCATGTGTCCTGAGTGCCCTTGTATGTCTGCTGCTAAACACTGGCTTTCATAGCCTCCCCAGCCTGAGCAGAGACCTGCAAATGAGTGAAGCAAAGGTAGCCTTCATGACTGACAGGTCGCAGGGCTGGAATTCCGGAGGAGGGAAGTCAGACAGGGCAGCCAAGTTTGGGGTGAGCATTAGCCCCAGAAACCTGGGCGCCAGACAAAGGCAGGCCCCTGGCAGGAGCCAGCTCTGCCCTGTGTGCTCAGCCCCGGGCTGCATTTAACAGCCCTTTGAAGTAAATGGGGGTCACAGTATAAACACCAAGATGTTTATTCTAAGAGCCTCCTGTCTGATTTCCTCAGCAAACCACCCTTGCCCTTGAACTCCAGCCCTATGGGTAGAGAAAATAATCAGGGTTTTGAACTTACAAATGGACTTGGAAACCTCGGTATGAGGAGACCTTTAACCCACTCTGAAGGAAGACATAACCCAGACTTTCCTTGAAGAGACCAAAGCCAACTCCTAATTCATGGCTCCCCATGCCCAATGGCAGAATGCAAGAGGGAATCAGAAACAGGGCATCAAGACCTTCCTTGATGCTCTGCAGAAGTTACCTAAGGAGTCCCACTTTCTGAAGCACGCAAGAAAATTAGATGTGTCCATAAAATCAGACCCTCAGAGGAAGGGGACCCAGTCTAAAAGAAATAAGATTGTGGGCAACATAGTCTTAATGTTAAAAGGGAATGATAACTGCACTGATGAGGCATTTATTCAAACTAAGAATGCACACAACCTTGGCTTTATGAAATTTCCCAATTTGGAAAGGAAAATTACGGGTTGGGGACATTGACAAGAACCCTTGAGGAACCCAAAGAAGCTTGGTTTTGTTTCTTTGATCTTCGCCATTGATGCCCCAAGACTAAGAGAATATTTTTATACTTGTTCCTAAGAATGCAGCTTAGTAGTTCCCTATATACTTCAGGGACCCTCACCATCCTTCCTCAGTCCCTAAAACCCTTCTGCTTTTCATTAGATCACCAGTATTTATCAGGCCCCTACTAGGTACCCACCACTGTGGATTTTAGAGTGTGTAACCCCATCCCTGCTCTCAAGGGGATCTCACTCACTTTGGAGAAATAAGAGCAATAGCCCCAAAGCATTTTGAGACTGATGCAATTCAGTCTGTAGTTTAGTACTGTTAACACTTGAGTATATTGGGGATTCACCCCTCCTCCCCACCCCAAAAATGAGCAATCTGTGAACTAGGGAAAGCACCACAGGTGGAGTGGAAATGAAGGAGTTCGGCTTTGGGCTAGCCTTCCCCCATCACCACGTGGCTAGCCAGGTCTCCAGTCTGGAATAGAATTATATATAGTGTGGTGCTAAGGATAGGGACTCCAGAGTCATGCTCTTTGGGTCCAAATCCTTGTTATCCAACCATGTTTTGGTTGGATAATTTTCTGATCTGTTCTGTGACTCAGTCATGCCAACTATAAAAGGGAGATAAAAATAATACCTACCTCAGAGTGATTGGGAAGGTAAAATAAGTTAATCCATGTAAAGTTCTTAAAATGGAGCCTCAAGTGGCCAAGGAATATCAACTGTGGTGTTAACTTTGAGCCCTATTATGTTTTGGGGGCCATGCCAACTGTCATCAAGTCTAGGTACTCTTTTCTTTAAAATGCTTCTCTTTTCCTTTATTTTCCCTCCTACCTTTACTACCCCAATAAGGCTGGAGGAAGAGCTGGGCTGAAAACTTTTGGTTTGCTCCCTGGGGGTACCAATGTGTAGTTCCCTAACTTTAGAACATCACCCTCTGCCAAATGAGGGGTCTGGGATAGAGACACTTCAAGGAGTTTTTGTATTTTGGTCCTAACCCATGCTCCCAGCTCTAAGAGTCTCCAAATTGACAATCCATTAACAATAACTGCCAATCTCATTGGGTGTTCGCTAGGTACCAGACACTTTTCTAGACACTATATATATATTAACTCATTTAATTTTCATAATGACCCTGAAGTTAGTATTACCATTATCTCATCTTTCAGAGAAGTAAAGTAGAGCACAGAGAGGTTTAGTAACTTGCCAGTGGTCACATATCAGTAAGTGGGAGAGCCAGGACTTGAACCCAAGCAGTCCAGTTCCAGAGCTTGTCCTGTATATTCTCGGTCACACTTCCCTTCACGGGGATAACCTTGTCTTGGAAGCAATAGCTTCTCCCTCTACTCCCAACTGATTCCTCTATTCTTTGATGATAAGATTCTGTCCTCATTCCTAATCTTAGCACAGGTTCATGCCTCCCCCTTCCTCTGCATCTGCCCAAATCCCCCCACCCTTCAAGGCCAGATCACCTCCTTGAAACAGCCCTTTTCCAGCCCTAGTCCACAAGAGCCCCCATTATCCTGTTGCCTGCGTCCTACCTACTCTCTCCCACTTGGCTTCCCCAGCATTGTCAGGAGGTACCAACTCTCAACAAACAAAGAAAACCCTTGTTGCTGCTCATGGAGCAGCACTGAACATAGAGCTGTGAACAGCCTGGCTGCAGCTACTCTGGAAAATGACTCTCTCTCTTTAGGTGCTCCTCCCTTCCCCATCCTCCAGAGTGAACTTTTCAAATACTGTGTGGCCAGTGCCTTAAGTCAGGCCATCATCATGCATATACTCTTCCAATATAGTGAAAACCTACCCAACTGCTTATATGAGATTCACTAAACAAAAGAATAGATAGAAACTTAATTTTAATTTTAATGTAAGTGGATGATGGCTGCCAGGGACTAGCCTTTCCATCCTCCTTCTCTTCTTTGACTTCCACATCTAGAACGGAGCCTGGAGCAAGTCCTTGTACAAACATGCTGGAAGGAAAAATGAAAGCAGGGAAGAAGGCCCAAGAGTAGGGAGAGAAGAGAAAAAGGAAAGGATAAGGAAGGGGGGGAGGGGAAGGGAAGGGGAAGGGAGAAGGAAATACTTAGGAATGGAGAGAAAAAAAGATTTAAATGAAGAATTTGAAACAAAAGAGGGAAAGGGAATCAGAGTAGAAGAAAAGGAAGAAATGAAAGAAATGAAGAGTGTGAAATGAAAGACAATAGGGAGAAAGGAAATTGGGGAAGAAGGATGCATGGAAGGGGGAATTTAGAATGAAGGTCACATTGAAGGAGGCAGGAGGGACAGAATGGAGCTGCCAGGTCCCCCATGGGCCAGGTAGATGCATCACATCACCAACCACCTCTGAGACAGGCCATTCACTTTACTGAGGAAGATGAGCTAAGAATGTTTAAAATGCTTGTGAACAACCATGCCATCCATTCCCCAAGAGACAAGGAAAAGTGAAAGGTGGGCACAGTCCCAAGCTTGAAGGTAGCCAATGAAGGGGGTTTAGGAGGAGATGGGCCTGCCCAAAGCCTCCCAATCACCTTTACCACGGAATGATCAGAGAAGACACCTCAGTGGGATTCTAAACTGTCTCCTCATTCTTGAAGAAAAGGTGGCTGATCCTTTGTAGACTCACTGCTAATTCAGAGAGCTATCATTAGTCCATTAGCTTTTCTGCAGAGCATCCTGAGGGTCCCAAGCCATGAGCGAGAACAGGTGGGCCAATGGATGGTCTGGTCAGCCAATAGACAGCTGAGCACCTCTAGTGCAGCCCTCCCCACTGTGGCATTGGGTTATTAGAATGTCTTAAGGCTTTCAGTGGGCTTACCTGGCACCTTATATTAGGCCTTGGGAGTCAGGCATACAAGTGAAGAATCATTCCTACCACTGAAGACCAGCAGACTCCAGTGAGTCAGCACCCCAAATAGTTCTGCACAAAAATTCCAATAGTTCTCTACTGTCCAAGGCATAACCAAAGTTTATCAGGTCCTAACCTACACTCTGGTTAAATTTCCCACCTCTCCCTTCTGCCACTTCCTACCCCTACCCCAAGTTTTCTTTTCTTCTTTATCTGTCTTCATTCTTGAAGAGAATTCCACTTCCTCACTGAAGTCTTTCCTGTCTCCTCCAGCTAGTAATATCCCTCTCTTTCCTCGGCAGTCTTATAGCCCTTTTGCATATACTGGTCTGCGTATCCTGTTACTTTTCCTCCCATTACTTTTCCATAGGCTCAATCTAATGTTATACTCTCAAGGGCAAGAACCACATCCTGTATTCCTGGATACTCCTAAATACTAAGCCAATGCCTGTGCATGCTAGGTATTCAACAAATGTTTGGGAAATCATTTTTCCATTATACATATGGTTTTGCCTTACAGACCTCAACTCCAAATTCTCAGCATCCCACCTTTGTATACCTTGTAGGTTTATAAAGGAGAGACTAAGAAGAAAAGATAGAAAAAATAAACAGTTTGGGGATGCCCCTTGAAAATCAGACCACATTCGAGAATCTAATGTCTTGTGCTATGGTGGATGAAGAGGGGACTAAATATAATTCTCACAACCAACACTAAGACTTATCTGCTTTCTTTTATGGTTTCCTCTTTTATTAAAGGACCTTGTGGATTATTTAAGAGTTCACTCACATAGTGCTGTTTATGCTACATCCATGAGCCCCCCAATAGCTGAGCAAATCATCAGATCAATGAAATTTATCATGGGACTGGATGGTACCACGCAAGGTAAGAGGGTCTGCAGGGGGGGACAACTCCCATAAATCCTTTCTTAGACTTCTCTCTACCTTCCTTCTGCCTCATCAATCTGCCCCCTTCTCAGATACACACCTTTGTCTTAATATAACCCAATTTGTAAATCAATTTGTATAAACCCAATTTGTACATGATATATGATCATACATAGTACAAAAATGTACTAAAACTGCTGCCAACACACACACAAAGAATTTTTTTTTTAAAGCAAAGAAAACTTTCTAATTCACCTCTTAATGTGATCAGCAAATCTGGATAATTTTGTATAATCAGTTGTGTTAAAATGAAGCAAACAGTTGTATGTGTTTGCCTGTGCTTGCTTGGGACCATCACTTGTGTTTCCCTGGGAACAAAGTAGGGTTTGGGGAGGGATTGGCCACCACTGCCTATTTGAGGATATGTGGACAAAACATACACAATAACTTTCCATTTCCATTTTTTTTTTTTACATTGGTGTGCTACTTTGCTCAACCCAAATGAGCTTAATCTTCTTTTTGAAAAATTGTTTCAGCAAAGCCTTTTGGAACTAGCCTCCTATCTTTTAGATATAGTTTATAGGGCTTCTACTACATATCACAGTGGAGATACAATGATGAATAAGGCAGTTCTTGCCTCCAGGCAATCTCGTGAGTGCATTTATGGAAGTAGTAAATTCTCCCAGCCCCAGGACTGGTCACTGGGCCATGGAATCCATGTGTTCCACCCCACCTCCCAACTAGTGGGAAGGCTTCCACTGTTTACTGCCATCTTCCAAGCCTACTATTTCAGTAGAAGCATGGGGAAATCCATTTCCCAATTTTATTAAAACAGCAGAATACTTTACTCACGTACAAATTTTACCCAGAAGTCTACTATATAAGACAGATTAGAACAGGGCTGGGCTGGTTGAAGTAGTGTGTACCCCTACCTCCGTATTGACAGCCCCTCAGGTCTTTCTCCTGAGTCCTAGTGCCGCCCAGGACACTGGTTTGAAAACCCCTGAGACAGACCTTTCCTTTTCACTAAAGCAGGAAAATGGCTTGCAGAGTGATTTTTTCCCTCCATGTAAAATGCAGTAATTTGATGGTTCTCCAAAGTCTCTTCCAACCTTGTCTTTGGAGTTTTATGATTCTGTCCCTTGTTGAATAGTCTGTGTGAAAAGGAAATAAAAATCCAATCTAGGAAGGCCATGTGGTGCAATGGTTAAGGGCAGAAACTGAAAGTAAACTGGAATCCTGTTTACTAGCTCTGTGACCATAGGCAAGTGATTTAACTTGTCTGTTCAACTCTGGGCAAGTGACTTCTCGGTGCTTCGGTTCATCCAGCTATAAAATGAGGAAAATAATGTTGATGAGCTCATGCTTTTGTGAGAATTAGGTAAATTAAGATACATAAAATACTTAAAATTATGTCTGAAAACAATTATTTAGTAAGCATCATATAATTGCTTGCTACCATTATTTGCTACTATTATTGAGGTGTTTAGTTCTCGGATGAGAAGTGTTTGGACCACAACTCCGGGATGCAGTAGGAAAGAGTCTTACAATGGAAGTGAGGTAAGACTAGTGTCCTCCAAAGCCCTGGATTAGTAAGGATAAGCAAAGTTATGCCACCATAACAAATAAACCCTGAAACTCTCTATGGCTTAACAGAACCAAGTTTTATTTCTTGCTCATACCAAGTCTAATACAAATCAGATAACTCTCTACACAGCTATCGTCCATAGGAGCAGTGATTCAGGCTACTTTAGACTCCGGGATCCCCGTGGCAGAGAACAGGGGAACATCAGCCTGGACGTGACACTTACCACCTTGCTTATAATCCTTTGGCCAAAACTAAGCATATGACCACACCCAGATTTGTGGGAGAAGGAGTTGGTAAATTAAAGGATATGGATATGGATAAGCAAATATCTTTCAACCTTTTAAAACTGAAGCTAGAAATAGAGCTGTATCTGTGCCCACATGAATTGTCTGGTTGTATGAAAAAGACTGGTCTTGAAGCACTTGGCTTATCACAAAGCCATTATTGATGATCTTCTTGAAATTCACTCATTTCTTTTTTTTTAAGATTTTATTTATTTATTTGAGAGAGAGAGCACGAGCAGCAGGAGGGACAGAGGGAGAAGCAGATGCCCCTACTGAGCAAGGAGCCCAACTCAGGGCTTGATCCCATAACCCTGGGACCATGACCAGACTGAAGGCAGGCACTTAACTGACTGAGCCACCCAGGCACCCCAAACTTCATGCATTTCTTTTTTTTATTATCATGTTCAGTTAGCCACTATCATTAGTTTTTGATGTAGTGTTCAGTGATTCATTAGTTGCATATAATACCCAGTGCTCATCACAACATGTGTCCTCCTTAATACCCATCACCTGGCTACCCCATCCCCCTAACCCCCTCCCCTCTGAAACCCTCAGTTTGTTTCCCAGAGTCCAGAGTCTCTCATGGTTTGTTTCCCTCTCTGATTTTTTCCCATTCAGTTTTCCCTCCCTTCCCCTATGGTCCTCCAAGCTATTCCTTATGTTCTACATATGAGTGAAACCATATAATTATCTTTCTCTGGTTGACTTATTTCACTTAGCATAATCCCCTCCAGTTCTATCCATGTCGAAGCAAATGGTGGGTATTCATCCTTTCTGATGGCTGAGTAATATTCCATTGTATATATAAACCACGTCTTTATTCATTCATCTGTTGAAGGGCATCTTGGCTCTTTCCACAGTTTGGCTATTGTGGACATTGCTGCTATGAACATTGGGGTGCATTACCCCTTCTTTTCACTTCATCTGTATCTTTGGGGTAAATACCTAGTAGTACAATTGCTGGGTCATAGGGTAGCTCTATTTTTAACATCTTGAGGAACCTCCATACTGTTTTCCAAAGTACCAGCTTGCATTCCCGCCAACAGTGTAAGAGGGTTCCCCTTTCTCCACATCCTTGCCAACACTTGTTGTTTCCTGTCTTGTTAATTTCTGCCATTCTAACTGGTGTAAGGTGGTATCTCATTGTGCCTCATGCATTTCTTAATGGAAAACAATTATTTGTGATTTAAGCTAAAATGCAAGTTACATGAATTGTCCTACAATGACCAGAATTATCCTTTGGTCTTATTTTAAAGATGAATAACTACAAAAGGTACCTGAAAATTAGCCTATGTCTCAATAAGGATCACTAATTTCTTAAGCCCTTTAGTGTATATGCTATCAGAAGCAGTTGATTTACATGTAGGCAACCTGACAATCTTTCCCTTCCCTCCTCTGGATTGATTTCCTGCTTCATCACAGACAGAACTCACTCTGCTTATCTGATCACAGCTGAAGATCTGCAGAAAAGTCACATTGAAAGATATGATCATTTATCCTTTGATAGTCATCTATCATCAATTTTTCTTCCTTTGAGGTGGGAGGTATCTCCCTTGGTTCTCTCTATAAGGCCTTATAATTAAAGAATTATTTGCTTATTATTTTTTTACCTCCCAGTTGAAGTTTCTCACTTTACTCCTCTTGCCACCTTAATAGGGAAAAGAAAAAAATAAAGAACAGAGAAGGCAATGTGTGAAGTCTGTTTTCTTAGAGCCAAGATGGGAGAACCCAGGGGGAAAAATAAGACAATTTCTTTTCAAATGGGTGAACAAAGGAAAGTAGTAGAAAAGAAAACTGACAGAATCATCCACCAAGTTTCAGATGGTTCTGTCTAACACATCTTTTGAAGAATATAATTCAAAAACACCAGTGAATGTTCATGTTGGCCTCATTTATAACAATGCCTGCTTTAAATAAAATGAATAGGACAGGTTGAGAATATTGCATTAACTCACCCCTCTCTGCTGAGATATATGGACTCTTGGGGTAAAGTTGCCCGGAGCTCAAAGGGATGCACTATGTCATTCCCAGAGCTGCCTTACAGGGTCTGAGAGATCATGGCTCCAAGCCTTCATCTTTGGCCCACTCCACTGCAACTGTGATTGGAGTCTTTCAAGGCTTTGTTTTGGGTTGAGTTTGGGGAGCAGTTGGCCAGATCCGTCCCTTGATGAATATCTTCACTTTAATCTGCAATGCAAAGCCATAGGCTTCAAAGAAAGGCAAGCTACAGGAATAAGGTCAGTGTTCCTTTGAAGCCAAGGTTCAAAGATGAAATAGCAGTCTCAGTGAAATGACAACGTTTATGCACAAACAGCCACCTTCAATCTGCAGCCAGGCTGCTCGTGGAGTTCATGCACACAGGCTGAGGAGCTGTGGGCCGTGCATGCATTCCACGTGCTTCAAGGCCCTTTCAATCTCCTGGCCTGTCACATCGTGCAGCACAATGAGCCCAAGGTGGAGATTTGGTTTCTCCATCCTCATGGTCGTTGGGTGGTCCATAAGCCAAATCAGTGCTGTAAGCCCCTTAAGGGCAAGAAATGTGTCTTGAATTAATCTGATGTTCCTCTGAGTGTCAAACCCAGTGCTCGGCTTAATAAATACATCATGATTCAACTTCCATCTCACTGGCCTTCTCGATTTCAGGTCAGTGTTTCTGCTAAACAAGTTCGAGGGGATGTTTATCTCAGAGGACTGGAGGTCAGGAATGTGTTCCACACCCGTGTGGCAGCTGAAGGGATCACTTAGTACTGGGGACCCTCTGTAACTGACATCACTTTTGAAGAGGCCCAGGAAGATTGCAGAAACAGCCTTGGCAGAAACAGCCACAGGAGGCTGAGCCCCAAACCATAACAACTCCCCTAAGGAAAGCACCGGCAACAGGTGTCTTATTATTATTTATTTAAATCTTGGATGCATGTTTTTCAGTGAATCCTTCAATATTCTTTTTGAACTGCCAGTTTTGGCCTTCCTTCCCCACCCTCCCTTTCTGCACTCTGGGGAGAAAATAGAGGATGTATCTCACGGAGGATTAAGGGTGTATGCTCTGCAGCCAGATGGCATGGGGCCCGGTCCCCAACGGCCCTCACTCCATGACAGGCAAGCTGCTTACCCTCACTTAGCCTCCAC